AATATTATTAGGGTATGTAATTTTGTGTAGGGTGGAAATTGAAAGGTTATAAATAAGAGTTATTTTAATAGAAGAAACAAAAACATTTGACCGATTCTTTGTGAAAAAGTAAACCAAAAAACTTGTAAGACGATCATAGCCGTATGCGTAAAGCTATTATGTGTATACAATCAGAAATTAATGATTAAAGAAAACGGTGGAACTTCTTTGTAGCTGTATAGTAAAGTAAGATTTAGTAAAATCACATCATGCAAATAATGTGAAATTAATGAATATCGAATAATAAAGAAAATGATTCTGGGTGAAAATCAAATKTAATCCTGTATTTAATAGTTTATTTATATTACTAAAAATTACTACTACCTATTAATTATTAATTGTATCAATTATAAATTATATAATATATCATGTTGAACTTATTTTTATTGGAATCTTTATTTAAGAAATATAATATTTGTTACTATTTGTTTTTACTTATAACTTATAAGTCAAACTTCAATACCAACGATTTAATTTTTTTTCCATTACTTGCAAGTTTAAAGTTACATGATTTATACAGCATACGATCTATTATTTGTTGTAATATTATACATATTATATTCACGAATCACGATGTTGTTATCAGATATTACCTCAATATATTATAAATTATGTGGTACTCTTCAACAAATAAAGATAGTAAAAATAATTATTTTTAGTTAGTTTATAATTCTAAATATTTATAATTAAAATAAGCACTGCATTATGGTTTAAAGATAGTGCCTCTAAGTGTMACTTTTGAGGAAAATAATGGATATTTTAGGGAAAGTAGAGTAACTGTTGGTCAACCATAATATATAAATAAATAAACATATCTGTTGTGATGATATTACAAAGTATAATAATATTATATAACATAATATTATAGGTATAATGAGTAAAACAATAAATAGTATCTTAACATAAATTAATAAAATACATCGAATTAGGTTAACATGGTTCTACAGAACTTCACCCAATAATGTAATTATTAWTATACTAGTCATTTAATAAACATTAATTTTATAAATAAAAATCTTCAATACAACACATATTTTAGGATAACACGTATAAAATAACTGATAAGTGATATTCCAATGTTATCATTATCATAAACTGTTTGCTGTACCATAGCCAAAGGAGGACACTACGAGCACAATATGTTCCTAAGWAATGTCTAGATTTATTGTTAAAATCAAGTTACACAAATTGGATATAAATGATTCATTTGTAATATTGTATTACTAATTCCTTGATCTGCAAATTGTGATTTTATTTTATAAATAAAAATTATTAAATATAGATGTTTGTGACAACATTTTTGACATTWACTAGATAATATGTAATAGCGCCTCTCCTAATTTATTAAAAATACTAGCAACAGCACAGTCTGGTTCATAACCTTATAACATTTTAAACTTATTAGACACGAGATATAAACTTTAATGATAATAATGATAGTTATAGTTAATCTATAATGATGATGATAATATTAGATAATATATTATAATATATAGTAATAATATAAACAAAATATAATAATATTATTAATAATAAAAATAGTAATCATAATAAATTATAATTATTGTGAGAACTGTACAATAAATAATAATAAAAATAATAATAAATTAACAATAATAGTAATATTTAATAATATTACGAAAAAAAAAAAATAATAATAATAATAATAATAACAATAATTAATGTAATTTTAAATACTGTAGTAGTAGATTTTCACATTTTATTGAAAAAATAAAAAAAAATATTAGTAATACATCCAAACAATACATAAAAACAAGTTTATGCTTCTACTAAAAATAGTTCTATTGACAGAGTGACTAGATTTGCATCGGTAAAAGCTAGGACTTTTAAATTACATCTTATACACGTAATTTATTATAAAACTGACCAATAACTAATTGGTTTTAATACAACAATACAGTTACATTTATAATTATATGACTATCTATAAAATAAAATCCTCTAATAATTGGATTTCTTAATAAACTTTAAAACTAACACCTATCCACTAGCTTTGGCATTTTTTGCTCAAATATCATATGACAGATAATTGATTAATATAAATTTAAAATAATTGAGATTATTAAATTATAAGATTGAAATATTTTCGTTTAAATTTTTGAAAGAATATTTATTAATYTAAACGAATGGTTGTAGCATGATCAGTGATCAAAAATGAAATAAATGAACATGGGACTTTGGGCTAATTTTGAAATAGATAGTTGGCTGTATAAATAATTAAGCATATTTATCATGAGATAAAAATTTTTAAATGTCAGCTAAAACACACGTTCTTGCAAAAAAAGAAGATAAATGTATATATTATATATCATTCATCTCAAAATATAAGTATAAATGACTTATTTACTTATACCCTGAAAATGTTACGGTTCCCTGTGAAGAGAAATGAAGAACACTGAGCGGATTGGAGTATCGGAGGATAAATGTTTTTGATTAAATACAGGATGGGAACATGAGGATAAGCGAACATTTCATATTTCCATTTTTTTTTAATTCTGGCGTGAAGTAATTATTTATACCATAGTGCCAATGTCGTGTCTATCACGTGCTTTTCTAAAGCAACACAACAAATGTCAGGATCCCAAAAAGCCGAATAACTGGGCTGGCGATTTTAAAAACCCTGTGAATGCACTTTCTTCAACATCCTCACCACCACTTCCGTCATCATCGCAACCACGTTCTAGACCACCACCGCCATCACCACTACCTCCCTTTTCTAAGTTTGCCCGCCACATCTTCTCGTGTTTTGCCATCATTTTCCTGTGAGCCYGAGCCGCTTCCCTAATGACGTATTCCCTGTTATTTTCCGGTCGTTGTAAGCAATGACCGTGTAAGTTAGGGAAACCACAGGTTCTCCAGCCTCGTTCTACCGCAGTCATACCCTTTTGGATCCTTATTACCCTTAAAAACGTTCTCAATGCTCTTGTTGTTTTATCAACCAGACCATCGCCTAATGAATTATCCTTACCGTAACGATCCTCAAGTACAAACCTACCTACCCTAGACCACTGGTTTTGTGTGTTATACACTACCTCATCATCGTCTAGTACCCTATATCTTATATCAGTTCTGCCCCACACTTGTTCCTCAACCAATATGAATAGAATTGGGTTTTCCATACGCCTGGCTTTGACTAAAATCTGAGCTAAAATATCCTGTGAAGTTGACCCTGTTGGTACCTTAAGAATAACATATGGTCTTTCTATGGAAACATTGTAAATGCATACTAAGAAAGTATGTATTTCGTCCCACGATGAGTCTGATTGACCATTTCTTGAGTTTTTTGATTGCAATGATATAAGCCAAGCTCTGCTGCTTGGATCGTCTCCAATTTTTTTTAGTACAAAGTACCCATTGCCTCGCCAGCGTGACTGTGCCTCCAATAGTTTCTCATTGTAATYCAGWACACGTGTAATCATGGGTGCATCGCCATTTTTCCATCCAATTCGCCTATTCTTTGTTTTTTTCTGCTTTTTTTTCTTTATTCTTTTCTTTTTCTTGTTTTTAGAGTTATTGTTATTGCTACTGCTATCATCGGTACCACCATCAGTTATAACGTTGGTGTTATTCCCCATATCATCACTATTATTGCCAGGTCCATTATTTGACATATCCCACGACAGGCCGACTTCTTCCAAGAGCACATATGTTTTCATTTCTTCATCACCCTCATTACGTTTTTCTAATGCTAACTTAATTACGTCTGTTGCTGTACTATCCTGGGTGACTTTGAACATGATATATGAGTTTTCAGAGAATACGCCATACACCATCACATAGAATTTTTTACGGTGCGTTGATTGACCATTGTTTTTCATTGATCCATTATCTGTGGCTGGTGCTGTCGTAGACGATGTCTTTTCGTCATCAATATGTCTGGTTGCTTCTTCTTTACTACGRGTACACACAAATAACGTAGTAAGTGGTAGTGGCTGGTTACACATATTATTCATTTCAATGTGCCTATAGCCATATAGCATGCTATTGAGTGGTATTACCCGCTGCGCTAATGGGTGATTAGTGCTAGCATCAACAACAAGGAATCGAATAAACGCTAATTCTTTGAATATCACGTTAAACGTTATTTTTTCGCCCCACATGGGATTCATTGAGTTAAAAAATATAGTTTTAGATTTTCTTTTTGTACTATCGGATGGTATACCGATTATTTCGATTTCAACGTATACGTTAGATCGAGTACCTCCGTTTGGAGATAAGAACTGGCCAGAGACGACATTTATACAAAAACATATAGGATTCAAACCATCAAAATCTTTTTCCATTGGGTTGAATTGACGATAAGATTTATGTGATGGATCATGCATCACTCGTGGCTTTAGTACATAACCACTATGACCATTCTGTTCAAACATGGCTGCATTCACGTGTGAAGCTGTGGCCTCCTCAGACTGATAGTTTAGTGCCGCCATCTGTATACCATATGACCAAAAATTTAATGGGTTGAAGTTGGAAGAATCTATCCTCATGCTTGCTGGATATACCCTGACCAACTGCGTCTCAGAGTGTGCTATCAAATCCTTTGGGCGTTTTTTTGTCAGTTTTTTTGCTGAATTTTCACTGAGCGAAGAACATTTATAGCATGGATGGTGTGGATTTATCGTAGTAGAACCACGACTATGGTAGTGTTCTACTGATGTAGCTCCAGCGGACGATGTACTTCCCATAGTACTATTAGGACCACAAAGACTGCCATTACATTTTCGTTTATTTTTCACCGAACTGCTCGGACTTCTCGTATTAAGACCACGAAATTTTATTGCCTAAAAATGTAATTGAAATTATTGTTTTTTATAAATGCAAAATTAAAACAAACTACATTTAATTYTATAGTAGGTAATTCTTCAGTGCATTTAACA